GTTTGGGTGCCGCACAATCACCTGGGCTTCCGCCGAGAGAATCGGACTTCCGCCACGGCCATGGCCTCTGTCGCGTGCAGGACGGAGTCCCTGTACTTGTTCGGCATCGCCACCACCCTCTCCCTCGTCGATCGCACCACCACCGCCGGCGCCGCCACGAACTCGTCCCACCCCCCGGCGAAACCCCGGCCGCCGATCCTCCTGCGCGGTCCGCCGCCCGCTGCCTCCGCTTCCCCCCGCTTTCGGTTCGGCGCTTTCACCTCTTTGTCCCTCGACCTCGACCTTCCACCGAAGTCGCGTAAAGCGCGACCGGCGGCCTCGATTAGCGCATCCCACCGCTTGTATTTCGCCTTCCCCTTTTCTGAACCCGTAACCGCCTGTTCGATTTTCGCGAGTTCCCCCTCCGACGAATGCGCTGCCCGGATTTCGTCTCGATTTCCGCTGCTCACCTCGGAAACCCAATCTCCGCCGCTTTCCGCCGCCGGAGACTCTGAGGCGCTGTCCTCGGGCGGCGCGACGTTCAGGTCGATGCCTAAAAAGCCCTTTCTCCCAACACCTCTTGCCGGAATATTACGCCCGTAGCCGTCGTGGAGGAGGCGGAGCTGTTCCTCGGGAGAGCCCGGCTCAGAAGCGGCGGCGGCGGTTTTGGGAGTCCCAACGAAGGGGAACATTGGCGGCTGGAAATTTTCATCTACGGTCGACGCCATGGGATGGCAATTGATTTCGAAATCAATTAGAAAGCGGATTTCTCTGTTGTGATTCAGTTCATGGATCTATTGATTACGTTGAGATCGCAGGAAAATCAAAGAGATTATAAATATGACCTTGAAAGAGAGAGAGAGAAAGGGACAGAGTAGTAATGAGAGAGAAACAAGAGGCACACCCGATTCTAACACCATTACTGTTTATTTCTTTATTATATTTCATTTTATTTAATTTCTGCCATTTTATCGTTATTGGATTTGGCTTCGGGTTTTTATAATTCTTTCACTGACGTGGCAAGTGAAATGGCGGTGCGTGAAGACGTGGCGGGATTTGGTTGGAAAAAAAGCGGTTACATGAGGACAAACGTAGAATCTCATCAAAGTAATATATATATTATATATATATGATCAATTTGTTAGAAAAATACACCACTTTTACTGATTGGTCATTTAGTCACCACTTTTAAATTTCGGCAATTTAATACTTTACTTTAGATTTTTTGGCGACTCGATAAATAGATTTAACTTTCGTTGACGAAAAGCTGATGTGACAATTTTATTAACGACCACATCACACAAAAATCTGGCTCTGCAAATAGAAGTCAAATCATCATTTAGACTTTGGCGGTTTAATACATCACTTTAAGTTTCTTGGCAACTCGATACACGAACTTAACCTCCGTTGACAGAAAGCTACCACATCAGCTTTCTCCCCTTCAAGAACCGTGCATCCCATCAAAAACGAAAAACTCATAAATAATGACTTTGATTAGATGGGCTTGGACAAGCCAAGGCCCATTAGAGATATATTCAAAAGATAATCCATACAGCCCATTTAACTTCCACCTTTTATCTATTATATTGTATTATTTCTTTATTAATGAAACTAATTAAACTATTTTAATTAACTTAAAAAATAACATTAGGCCTTCAACTCAAGAGTCCATAGCGAGAGAGCCCATACTTTTGCACTCCTTCTTTCGCCTTTCCTAACAGACGAGGTAAAAAGGCACAGGCAAGCTAAAACAATAAAACAAATTCGCAGCAACAATCGTCCGGCCAATTCCTTGATTTTTCTGAGTATTTTGATCATCCTTTTATATTGTAAGTACTTTAATTTATGCTCATGTTTATAATTTAATTTATTTATTCTTTTTAGGGATTTAGGGTTTAAAACTAGCATTCACTGTGTGTATATATTCATCATTCTAAAATGTCTTAATTCATCCTCTTTATCTTGGACAGTTTGATAAAGAAAAATTGTTGAACAGATGTATCATTTTGCTCAAGAATAGATGAATCATATATAGGCTTATATCATTTTTTAATTCATGAATCATATATAGGTTTATGCTATTTTTCAAATATTAATTTTATTGTTTATTTTTATTTTTAGGATATGCAAAAGTCATCAAGAATAGACTCGTTTTTCAAGAGAAAACATGATCATATTGAAGAAGATAATGGGGGACCACCAACTGTTGAGAAAGTTATTAATTACATCAAAAAATTACACAAAATTGAACCGGTGGTGTTTGATATCAACAAACTTGAACGTGACCCAAGGTTACGTATGCCAATATCAAGTGATCCTGTTGATAAAATTGATGAAGTTCGACGAGTTTATATTAGCCGCGATCCTTATCAGTACAAAGGAGAATATCCTTCGAGCGGGTCTTGAAAGCATTCTCGTCGTTTTCAAGCGTTGTGGTTCAAGATATTTCCATCTTGGTTAGAATATTTCCCTATGAGTGATGTTGCTTATGTTTTTACCTTGCTATTTGTTTGACAAACCAGGTAAGCATCACAATCAGAATACTTCTTTCGTTGATGAGTTTAGGAAGGGAAAAAAGTATGGAATGGAAAAGATTGTGCATTTCTAAATGACGTTGGAAAAGATCATAATTCATATATTGCACCAAATTACTGAGAAATCATGTAGAGACCTAATGAATCAAGCAAAACATGTTCGACCACTTATTGAAAACCAATGTTTTGAACAAGTTGCAAACATTAGATTACGGCTTGAAGCTTCAATTTTTTCTGCCCGGTAATTCATTCAAATGAAGAGACACTAGGTCCCGCAGTTGCTATTTTTTTTTTTTTTNACCATAGATTTTATATATATAACACATAAATACAACTAGACATCAGCCAGAATAAGCCAAGAGGCCATCGAGGCGAATCTAGCAGGAGGACTACACACAAAATTGCATCCTAGAATTAGCCAACCAACCTAACTCACCCACTACACGACAAAACTAAACACTCACACGAGAGAATCAAACTTCAAAAGAGAAGAATCACACTCCTAGAGAGGAGAATCACGCTTCTAATGAGAAGAATGACACTCCTAATGAGAAGAATCTACACCAATAACACCCAAAACGACACAAAAAACAAAACAAACATACACTATTAGAATAAACCCTTCCCCCAACCGATCACAAACTGCAAAGCCACGAACACAACACCCGGAGATGATAACCCACACAGATAAGAACTCAGACTGAATATAGCTCCAGAAACTCCAGAGACGGCTAACTCGGCTAGCTGAAACCACACCACAGGCCAAATTCACTACCCCAGCGGACCACTCCAGACCGGCGACCGGAGGCCAGCTCTACCTCATCCCACACACCAACTAAGGATTGCGGGCACAAAATCGACCCGACAACTTCACACAACCAACAGCCAAACCCCAACCCACAATGAATCACGACTCCCAGGCCCAAAGAAGAATGAGAGATTCAAAGACAGAAAAGAAAATTACAAACCTGAGTTGCAACCCTTACGAAGGGATTTGGGTGGCGAACTCATTTGAGAAGACGAGCGTCGCGACGGCCTGCAGGTGGAGTGTGTGCGGGAGCAGGAACGACCAAGTGAGGCGATGTTCCGGTGATTTTGTGCCCCGACGCCGACGCCGAGCAACGGGAGATGGAGCGGGTGATTTTGTGCGCCATGCGGCGGACGGGCGGAGAAGTGCAGTAGGTAGGTTTTCTGGAGGATGAGACGATGAGTGAACTGTGAGAGATGATTCTGTTTCTGTGACAGATTAGACTTTGGAGATACCGAGATAATATTAATGGTAATGGTTAATGGGATATCGGACCCGGTCGATGGAATTAGACTATTCGAGTGATAAAATGGGCCTGCTTAGTGCTTTGTGGTGGGCGGCCCGTTAACCAATGGCAATTGGATTGAATAATATATACTGGGCCTTTTTTAAGTTATATAATATCGGTTTTCGGTTCGGTTCGGTTAACCGACAGATTGTAACCAAACCGAACCGAAAACCAAAAAATTAAGAAACGTAAAACCAATAACCGTACCAATTTTGTCGGTTTCGGTTTCGGTCGAAACCGAAAATTCGGTGTCGGTCGGTTATCCAAAATTTGTGCAGCCCTATTTGTGGTATTTCAAAATCGGAGAGCATTGGTAGGCTCGTCCTCACCATCAACTCTTGTCTGAATGCATGTGAAGACTGATGCTGCGCGTTCTCTTCGTGGGGACCTTCGAGGCGTGGTCTTTCACTACATTGAATAATGTATCAATTTCTTTTAGCATATGAGTTAAGCTGTGAATAATCCACAAACTTTGTAACACAATATCACTTTTCCTTTTCTT